CACACACACACACACACACACACACACACACACACATTAACACACACTAATAAGAGTGATTCCACATTGTTAGAAAACAATTATATTTAAACTGTGAAGGGGTCTTGTGCTGTATTTTAATACATTTGATAGTTTTGCATCGATACAGTTAATAATTTCAGGATATAGCGATCTACAAAGCCAAAAAAAACAAAACATTAAAGTCCCTTTCGCTTGCTCTTTTGACAAAAAAACTGAACTGAAGCAAATGTCTAAACTTACACGGGGGTCCAGAGGGTTAATCACATGTATTTTATATTAGTAATCTGTTTGTTGTGATGATACCTGCAGGTCAGGCGGGCTCCTGTATGCAGGTGTTCTCCACCATGCCATTCTCCTCCTGTAACATGGGAACCTGCTCCTATGCCAGCCGCAACGATAAATCCTACTGGCTGTCCACCACGGCGGCCGTACCCAGTATACCCGTGGGTGGAGCTGCCATCGAGGATCACATTAGCCGCTGTGTGGTGTGTGAAGCCCCCTCCTCACCTGTCGCTCTGCACAGCCAGACCTCCACCCGGCCGGACTGCCCCCCCTACTGGACAAGCTTGTGGGAAGGATTCTCCTTCCTCATGGTGAGTGTTGCAGAACTGAAATAATACTACTGCTGATACTGCTACTTAAATAATTGCTATTAGCTTCACTGCTTATTCTACTAAATGAATTACTACAACTTCAACAGCTATTAAATGGTATCTATGGTGTGTTTATCAGACAGACAGACAAGGGTCTTCCTCTCAAATGCAAAAACATGAAGGGTCATTCCAAACATTTTTAACCTGGGCTGTATTATGGAATATTTTGTGTCTATAAAACCAGTAGGAACAGATGAATGAAATTGCTCTAGTAGTTTTTCTTCAGTCGAAAGCAATGTCTGGATTGCAATTTGAACCACAGAAAGTGTGAAAAACATAAATACTGGAATTGGAAATTGGAAAGGACTACACTTGCTTGCTCTCAGCTGGTGCATGGATCCGTCTGGACTAAGCTAGACTGGTGATGATGTCACTCCCTGTGTCTGTTGCAGCATACAGGTGCAGGTGATGAGGGAGGCGGCCAGTCTCTGACATCATCAGGTAGCTGTCTGACAGACTTCAGGGCCCAGCCCTTTGTGGAGTGTCAGGGGCCCAGAGGGACCTGCCACTACTTCGCCAACATCTACAGCTTCTGGCTGATCCAAGAGCAGACAACCACTTCCACCTCCACAACGCTGACCCATGGCTGGGAACAGAGGGACAAAATAGGGAAGTGCAACGTCTGCATGAGGGAGTGAGGAGGAGCAGCACCTCCTCCTCCTGCAGAGTCTGAGAGGACGGACAGGACGAGAAACGTTTGTTTTTCTCTGTGAGGAGAGAGAGTCACATTTGGAAGATGCTGACAATCAATCAATCAATCAATCAATGAAATAATCAATCAATCAAGTTCAGGTTAACAGGGGAGCCTCAGAGGCGCACAGATTAGTTTATTTAACTTTTTAGCAAACACGACAGAAGACAAGTTTAAACTGGGTTTGTAGATTTTATCTTTAAGTGTGAATCAAGGCTTTAAATATCTCTTTGAATTAAACGAAAAACAAATATTCAATTTAAATATAATAAGCATATTTAAGCATAATTTCCACTAGAAAAATCAGTTTGCTTAAAGCTCGATCAGCCTGGATTAATGATCTTTTCAGCCAAGGGTTTTTAGTCTACATGTTTACATTAAATATAACATATTATATTAATGACTAACCTGAAAATATAAAGGGCTAAAAATCGATCCCTGTGGAACCCCATAAGTGATTCTTGACTGCATCTGGGGAGATTGTGTTGCTCTGTGTTTTCTGATGTAGAAGAAGGATAGACCAAATGTCAGACAACTGCGTAACGAAAGTAAGACTGAGTTTGAGTTATTTTGTGCAGCGAGTGCAGTTATGACTTAAGTGTGACCTGTAAGTTACATGGAAACTGTCACTCAGTGAAGACAGATGGACAGGAGCTCCACATCGAAGACAGAACACCATCAGAGATATCCTGGTACTGATCCTAGCTAACAGGTCACTGATCAGCGAGGAGGAAGGAGATTAACAGAGCTGAGAGAGAACAAGTGATGATTTGATTGGTTTGCACGTGTATCTTGGAGAACAAATATTTGCAGGCTGTGTGCAACAATTACAACCAAATTTTCCTGCAGTCGAACCTGCGGTAGACGAAAGATTGGCTTCACTTTTGGTCCTAACACAGCTTAAGTAAACTTTAGTAAACAGCTACAACTTAGCTCCAACACGGGGCAGTCAACACTGTCTAACACACCACTTTGTAATGATGAGGTGTAATGTGAACGTATGATTTTCACATTGAAGATTAACCTTGTGTAAAGGAAAATTGGTGCTTCTAAGTCAATGAGTGTGAATATCTAACAAATTACACTGTAAATTCAGTTATTCGTCTTGTTCAGTACAAAGAATAATTTATCCTTAAGATCCTTCAGCCCCAGTTTAAATCAGCTGTTTTGTGACGTTTGCTGAATTGAACAAAGATACAAAAATAGTTTAAAAAGAAGTCATATTTATTCCCTTTTAGCTAATTAATACAAATCAGTTATTTAAAAAATTCTCACTATCACTGATGTTCGAGGTGATTTACTTCCTGTGACATCATTGTTTGGCAGCATTAACGTGACATTTTCTCCTCAACCGTAAGAACGACGTTGAGCACCTGAGTGAACAGTAACCCCGCCTCCAGCCCGACCCATCCCCCAACCAGAACTGCACTGAAAATCTCTCTGATAGGTCGGCGGAAAACGCGTTCTGATTGGTCAGCTGAGAGGCAGTGACTGCATGTCAGTGGACAATATTTTGTTAATAAGTAGGGCCAGAATTGTGTGAGAAGCTGTGAATATATTTGACCTTGAAACATGTTTTTGTCCAGATGTGTTCAGAGCGCCCCCTTCAGCTCGCCTGATTTATTGTTCTTTATTCATGTTTTAAGTTTCAGTGTAAAAACAAAGAGGGCGGCAGTCAGATTTAAACACGGTAATGACTTAACCCAAGGTTGTTGTTTTTTTAATCACGACAAGACGTGAAGTGACAATCTGTCCTGTTACTCTGAGTCTAAAAAACTGCAGAACGGAACCAGAACTAGAACCAGAACTGAATTTAAGGACTCAATCCCACTCGTCTTCATGTGTTTACACTCAAATTCACTTAAAAATGTAAGCATGATTGTTTCATTTAAGATTAAACGAAAGGTCTGTAGTCAGCGTCATGATACAAATGTTTTAATACTTATATAATACAGTAGACAGCTTGAAGTCCTTTCAAACGAAACTTTACATTTTTCTTTAACTTTTAGAAAAATATCTCGTAAAATCTTCGGTGGAATTTTTCTTTGGTCTGGTTTCAGTCCAGTCCTGGTCCTGGTCCTGGTTCTGTTTTATCGCTCTGTAATTTGTAAATAAGTTTGAACTCGACCGTTTTATATTTTTACTGTAAATGTCATCAGAGTATTTATTTAGCCTGAAATTACTGTTGGTGCTATTTGACGTTTCTTTTGTTCATTCGTCAAATCTTGATTTGGTAAACAATGTCACAGTGAAGCCCCGCCCCTTCTCCTCAATCCTAGAAAATAAACTTGGCAAATTTAAATTTGCACATTGAGCATTGGAGGACATTGATCTCTAGTTTTTTTTTTAATTTAGAGAATTTATGTTAATGTGAACTTAATTAATAAAGTAAATTTACACTTAAAAACCTCTTGAAGAAATGTATGCCACGCCCCTTTCACCACATCCTGTATGCTGTCATAAACTGATGTCATTGACGGTCGGTTCCATCCAAAATGTATTCCAAAAAAGGATAAAAGAAGTGATTCTGTTCAGACTCTTAAATGCACTGATTGGATGCCTCGAAGCTTGAAAGTAGATAAACTTAACTGCAGCTCCCATGGTGTTTTGCTTTAATGTGTTTAGTTCAGGGCATCAGTTGATCTCCATTAATATGAGACTCCAGGTTCAGAGCTGTCAGAAATTAAAAAAAGAAGAAATGAGGTGGGCAGGACTTCATTGGTACCTGAGGAGGGGGAGGGGTAGAAGTCACTGTGACATTATTGTGTTTTTTTATTGTATTTAAATCTGTCTGATATTTTAATCTCTGTAGGAGGAAACTTCTCACTAACACTTGTGAAACATTTTACTCTGTGGACGGAAGACTTCAATAAAAATCCATCAAAGCTTCACCCCCCACTCTTTGTCTTGTATAATTTTAGTGAAAAAAAAAAAGTTTTAGACTGATCATGAAGAATCATTGCTCTGTGACGAGTCACCCCCCCTCCCCCAAACAAAACAAAACAAAACAGAGACAATCCATGTACTTAAAAAAAGAATATTATTAATATATTATTATTCTTTTCTCTAGTCCCTCAGAGGATATACTGGATTTCTGCTACATTTAAGTGTGAAAAATTGCATATTCTTCCTTTAAACTTTGATCTGAACACATTGTTCAACCACAACTTAAATCAGTTTGTCAAACCGTGTCAAAGTGTTGGAGCCATGGATAAATTCAAGTGTATCTTTGAATTATTTTTTAAGGTTAAGGTATGTAATGGGTTGTATTTCTGTGTTTTGGGTCATTTTTAATGATATCACTTATTGTGGGATTTGAGTAGGCGGATAGCAGGTCACATGGGTATTGACGGGGATGTTGTATTGATTTAACTCCCCAGTTCACCTTTTGTTCTCAGTGGAAGAGAGAGGTCGAGTTGGGTTGCCGTATTTTTTGTTGACCGCCATTGTTTGGTGCCCCGAGATTACTTTGATTATGAGTTAATGCACATTATCATGAATTGATTATCTTTTCCGTTAATAAAAAGTCAAATGTATTTATCGTATCTCAGTGATTCTTTTTTAGTAAGTGTGTCAAACAAGATACTAGGCCCAACCTCAGCCTCTCAGCGACATCATTGTACCGGAAAGTTGCAACACATACAGTAGATATGAACAAAGATTTTAACCTGCAATTAATTTATCAAGCTAGAATCCAACCCTAGATCTTGGGATTAACACATGGGCATCTTGGGAAAGTCTTTCCACCTGATTGGCCAAAGATTTTCCACATCACATTACACCTGATGGGAAGAGCGGAGAGTTTCTTCATTTGCCATTTGCTGTCTGCATTCGGCAAATCCTTTGGAACTGATCTGTTAGCAGACAACTCGTGACGCAGGAAGCACAATGGACATTAATGAATCTCAGTTGCTGTCGAGAGATCTCAGGAAGATTTGATGAATTTTTGAGGTACTGACAAGTCTTTAAAGGATCTGTTTCCCCGTCTTGATCTCCAGACTTACAGTGACTTCTTGGATTGCTGTGCTACCCTGGGTTAGTGGGAAGAATGGCAGTTCTCTGCAGGGCCAGCAGAGGCTGCCATCTAACAACTTGTCCTCTTCCTGTGTTGTCCTCTTTCCAACATACCACAGCCCCATTCACCCTCTTGGATGAGTCCCTACAGCTTGTCAGAATCCATCTCACAGCCTCACACCCATTCCTTCTCTCAACTGCAGCCCAAGGTAACTTTAAACTCTCCCTCTGGCTACCTCGAGATATCTGTATTCATATAGACTCTGGACTGGACTTGATTTCACAGGTGTGGACTGGAGAGTACAAGTCTGGACTGATTTGATGGATGGATCCAAGAGGATAAAGTGCAACCAGACTCTTAGCACCTGTTTTCAAATGTCCACTCAAAATATCAGCTTCCAGGTTTTCAGTACAACGGTACTCTGGAAAACCCCTCTCTGGAACAACACAACCATCACATCAGCTGGACAACAGGTCAAATTCTTTCTTGGAGAAAAGTGTGTAACCAAAATTGTATCTTGCATTTTTCCCTTTGCTCCATCTGAGTCTCTCACAGTTTCCTACACTGTCGTCTCCAGATCTTGAGTACCCCGACCTTTCTTGAGCTCCTCCTTGTTAACCATGATCTCAAGCAGAAGTTCAGCAAAGCCAGGGTGAAGTCTCTTTCTCCTCATCTGTCGCTCGCCTGTGTCATCAACCTACTGAGGGAGGTAATACTCTTTGGATCCAAGGCGAAGAGGAACTATGTAGAATATTCCTTGCGGCCAGATTCAGTCTGTCTTCCTCTACTGCAGCCATCTTCTTTGTAGAAAACAAAGCCTGTAGACCCTTTTTTGACTATCAGACTTAAAAACAAAAAGACACACAAGTCCTTCAGGAGTAAATCATTCATTGCACAAATTGAAGAACAGCGGTCGGTGATCTGATCTGTTTTATTGTCATTAAAAGCTGATCTGTACAGAAAGATTAATCTCATACATCCACCTTCATACAAGACTGAGAACAGAAAAGAATAATGCAAAGAATAGAAACATGTTTTCAGAGTGAAGTGCTGAAAAGAGTTAATTACAAACTAGGGATGCACAGATGGTGAAAATCAGGACCGATTCTGATACCAATGTTTAAAATAACAATTTAGCCGATTCCAATGTTTCTTTTGGTGTAAGACTCCCAACAATGCCAACATTTTCCCTCGTGACTGTCCATGAAAAGTGAATCCAGTGATTGCATGAAGGAATCATCTGTAGAAACAGATTTGATCGGGAATGAGGAAGTCAAAACAGAAAAAAAATACAAAGAAATGTTTTTGAATCTCCAGTTCTGTCTCTCGAATACAGTGAGCGTTCCCATTTTTTCATAAACAAACAGAAAATATTAAGCAGTACGAGCCAGCAAAGAGAAATAATAAAGCTCTATTTAACTCTGTATCCTACATATATATATATATATATATATATATATATATATAATAAACCTCATCACACCAAAGAGCTCCCACTGAAATCACTGCTTTAAATACACCGTCAGCATTATAGAGACTCAGATCGTCTAGTACCTTTGATTAAATCTTACATTTTTTATTGTGTGCAACCATTAAATCACGCCTCTCATGGAGTTTCTTCTGTGATTATAAATTCAACTCCACATCCATAAGAGCGCCAACAAGATATTCTGCCTCCCCCCCCAAAAAAAAGAACACCTTCATTTCCATCCAAAGCGCAGATGAAACAGATTCTGATTAAGTCCAGTCTGGAGCTCCTGGATCTGATTCTGGGTTCCACATTAGTTAAAATAGATCCAGTATGCACAGGCGGTAAAGTGACAGCAGTCCTAATGATCTTATTGGTTCAGCCCTCTTGTTCTGTTTGTCTAAAAAATGCACATTACATTAATTCAGAGGATTTCTCTCATCGATCATCTATTTAAATCCAGAATTCCTGCAGGAGTATATCAGGGCAGGTTGCTCTGAAAACAAACAGGGAAGAAGCCGAATGTGAAAGAAGAGATCCCACATGAACAAAAATCGTCTGAGAACACATACAATGTTCTACATGTTACGTGCTAATCTAATAAAAAAGACTTTCCATCAAAGACTTGATAAAAACAAGCTTTTGTTTTCAGCAGATGTAACCCTAAATTCAAAGGTTAAAAGTGCATCCTTATATTTTAGAGTATTTTCTGATTACAGATCAATTAGCCATTTTAACCCAAAGAGACAAAAGGGAACTCTTACTGATCAATATTTAATCATCAGGCACCTGATTTTTTGGGTCCAGTTTTTGTCCTCTGATCATTACTGATCGCAGTCCACCAGGGACTTCTGTCTTTTCCTTTCGTTTTCCTATGTGAGTGTTTCCTCTCAGCAGGAAAAGCACAGATTACTTTCATCAGACGATAACTGTCTCTCTCAGCCAGTTTTAAATCAAGGAGTCAGAATGATTTGAATACTTCTTATCATACTATTCCCAAAGTCTACGTTCGACATTTTAACTATCGTTATATCATTTCTACTTTCTTTGTCTTTGAGAGAATCGAGACACACAAACATATTTTTGCTGGACTGATGGAAAGCTTCCATCAACAGTGGTTCAGTTGATAATTGTTGTGACTGTGCTGAAAGTAGAAAACAATTCAGACCCCTCAAAAGTTTCCTCTTCAGAGAACATCATCAGGGTTTTCCTGGACAGATGTTCGGGTCTTGCGGGGTCGCGGCCGCAGCGTGCTGAAGCAGGACGAGGCGGTGAGGGCGATGCGGCTCAGGCCCACGTTCAGGCAGTGAACCTCAGAGGTGACCGGCACCTCTGAGAAGAGGGCGTGATCCCGGGACAGGCGGGCCAGTCCGCTGCCACTGCCACCGCCATCGCTGCTCTCGATGTCTTTGACGATGTTGAGAATCTCCTGACGCTCCGCCTGGCGAGTCATCCCTCGGATGTTCAAAATGGCCGACACATGCTTCTTCCTGAACAGAGAGAGGAAGAAAAAAGTGAAGGGCATGTAGTGATAGACAAGTTGATTTTCAACGTTTTGACTTATTCTTTGGCCTGAGGGCCTGAGCACAGTTACCTCATAACGTCTTAATACAACACACTCATGGCTTTACGTGATCATGAAGTGTGCTTAGCTACATAAGATAAGATAAGATAATCCTTTATCCAGCCCAACATTAATCACCTCCGACTGTCCCTGACACCCACCAGTAACGCCATCCTCGTTAACACCCTGGTTACATCTCGCATTGATTACTGCAGCTCCCTTCTCTTTGGTCTTCCTCTCAAGTCCATCCACAAACTTCAACTGGTCCAGAACGCTGCCGCTCCAGAACACCCTCCATTAATCCCATCACTCCTCTCCTTCAGCAGCGTCATCGGTTAAATATCACATTGACAGATTCTGCTCCTCACCTTGAAGGCCGTCCATAACCTCGCTCCTTTGTACCTCTCTGACCTCCTGCACATCAACAAACCAACCTGCACTCTCAACTCAGTGCAACACCTGACCCGCCCACCTGACCACCATGGGGTCCAGAGCCTTCAGCCGCTCTGCCCCTCCCCCGCCTCTGGAACTCCCTACCACCAGATATCCGTAACATCGACTCTCTGCATTTTCACATCTTTATATCACTGGCATATCCAGTCCATCATTCTCCATCCTGTCTCATGAATCCTCTACACAATGATTTAATATCCTGTAAATGTGTCTTTTTAATGTTAACTCGTATGTAAGTCTAAGTCAGTAGAGTCTGATGTCTTAGAAGAGGGCGATGTAACAGATGCATCTTCCTGTAAAACAAAAAGGTCTCTGATGTTGTCACAAACTTAGAATAACAATCTGAGCCTGTCGGGGACAACAACAACTTTAAGTGGACACACTTTGACCCATCAAGACACTACACCTGTTTCATGGCTACGGGCTGAAACAATCTATTGGTACTTTACCAAACATGTTTTTACCTTTTATTGTTTTAGACATACAGTATGGCCCAGGTTTTAAACTTCTGTATTGACCCTTCATGTTTCAGCAGATTTTTAAGAGTTCAAGAAGAAAATGTACTCATAGGATATTAGTGGAGTCGGGCTGTATGAGCAGACTGCAGAGAGGCGTCTCACAGGACACATTGTGGAGGTAAATATAATACATACAGCTATTAGGAGAACAATAACAAGAGTGCCAGACTTAATATAGAACACACACACACACACACACAGACACAAAGGCTCAGTGGGTTAAAGGTGACATTTCTCAGCAGTCGGGTCACTATCCGAAAGGAAGGAAAGTGTTTATGTGTTAATGCTTTGTCTTCAGTTTCTCTTTCTCACACATACCATGATCTTTCTGTAGTTTCCCGTCAGATTATACTTTTTGCCCTCTTCACACAGGACTGATGACACTGGGGCATTGCCAGTCATTTGTAGTAATAAAATAGTAATGTAAGAAGCAATCAAAAACTGGTCTTAATACACAACAAGGGCAAAGAAACGGGTTTATCTGTTTAACTTTTAACATTGAAAAGAAGCAGAGGACTACAAATTTGAAGGGTTAGGGTTACATAAGAGGAAAAAAGTAAAATAAGACAAAATGCAATAATGACTATTAGGAGAAATGGAAGAACAAGAGGAGGGTTTGTTGAATGTTTTTTTTGTACCTGACGTCTGGAAACTCGCGAACCAAAACTCCGACCTCCATCTGGATGGAGGGGACGTCCTCCAGCTGGATGATCTCTGAGATGTGAGACAGGGCTGTCCAACCAGCTGACAGAGACTCCTGACAGACAGACAGAGCAAACATGCTAACACCAAGCCCTGGACATACAGACAACTATCACTCTGTTACTTGAGCTATCTATCTTAAAGGAACAATATGTAAGATGAATGACCTTACTATATGATCAGACATTAAGGAAACATGACCTCATGCTCTGGATTTGTTTGGACCAGAGAAGGTAGGCGCTTTTAAGACCCCCCACACGGCCGTTTTGGACGCCCTCGTTTGTCAGATATGAGAGCAGTTATCAGGTCAACAGGTGTTGCAGCGATGGAAGTGGTCAAGAGAAGTGTTCAGATAGAAGTGATTGTACCCGACCTAAAAAGCCTCTGCATGTTTCTAATAAGCTCCACGAGCAGAAACGTGCTCAAACTAGGATCAATATTGGAGATGCTTTTGAAAAATGGAGAGAGGTTAGAACACAGAAAGGTTTACAGACCCATACAGAGCTGGATAAACACTGAAGCTTCAGAGTCCACCACATGGTGACCTGAGTGAGCATCCACTCTAGAGAGGAGGGGGGGGGAGGCAGATCTCTATGTGTTTAGAATGTAGACTGCAGTACCATTTTAAACAATGGGTGTCAGAGTTACACCTTGCTCCTTTAATGCAGGCTTTAATGGCTGCAACATAATTATCATGTTAGTAATTTAAAAAGTAACTATTTTATGGTTAATAGTAAAATGCAGCCGTATAACATTTAATCTGAGGGAGAATTATTATTTTGTATCAAGATAGTCTGGTGTGTGTGCAGAGAGTTAACAGCTGTTAAAAATTCTCACTAACCAGATCTTTGAAGAGGACTTTGATCTGTGTGCCTTCGTCTCGGAGCCGGCCGCCATCCTCTTCATCTTTGCAGAGGTGCAGATGATTCTGCCTCGCATGACTGAGCGAAGGTACTCCATCACCACGCGGCGGGCACCTCCGCCACCAGCAGCTGAGGGTGAGAGACAGAGAGAGAGAGACAGAGAGACAGAGAGAGAGAGAGAGAGAGAGAGAGCGAGACAGAGAGACAGAGAGACAGAGAGACAGAGAGAGAGAGACAGAGAGAGAGAGACAGAGACAGAGAGAGACAGAGGAGAGAGACAGAGAGAGAGACAGAGAGAGAGAGACAGAGAGACAGAGAGAGAGAGAGACGAGAGAGAGAGAGACAGAGAGAGAGAGAGAGAGAGACAGAGACAGAGAGAGACAGAGGGAGAGAGACAGAGAGAGAGACAGAGAGAGAGAGACAGAGAGACAGAGAGAGAGAGAGAGACAGAGAGAGAGAGACAGAGAGAGAGAGGAGAGAGAGACAGAGAGAGAGAGAGAGAGAGAGAGAGAGAGAGAGAGAGAGACAGAGAGACAAGAGAGAGAGAGAGACAGAGAGACAGAGAGAGAGAGAGAAGAGAGAGAGAGAGAGAGACAGAGAGAGAGAGAGAGAGAGAGAGAGAGAGAGAGAGACAGAGAGACAGAGAGAGAGAGAGAGAGAGGAGCGACAGAGAGAGAGAGAGAGAGAGAGAGAGAAATATGATGATCTTTACCAGGTGTGTTTTTGGTGTGTAACAATATGACTGGTCTGGTGATTGCACATCTCCAATACTCATAGTTAAAGTACATTTATGTTGAAAACACAAACACATAATAAACACACAGTATAAGAGTGCTTA